AATAATAATAATAATAATAATAATAATAATAATAATTGCTTACACTTATATAGCGCTTTTCTGGACACTACACTCAAAGCACTTTACAGGTAATGGGGACTCCTTTCCACCACCACCAGTGTGCAGCATCCACCTGGATGATGCGACGGCAGCCATAGTGCACCAGAACGCTCACCACACATCAGCTATTAGTGGGGAGGAGAGGAGAGTAATGAAGCCAATTCATAGATGGGGATTATTAGGAGGCCATGATTGGTAAGGGCCATTGGGAAATTTGGCCAGGATGATTCAGTAGTTGTGTCATTCATAAAAAGCTGGTGTGTTGACTGTTTCTGAAGTATTTGAGGAAATTACAAAATCATTATGTGTGATACATTACTTGCAAATTTCCAGTGAGCAATTGGTTAGTTTTGAAAGTAAAGGCTGGAGGATTTAAAAGGAGGTCTATTATGGAGAATTAATGTCACAGGGCAATGGTGCATTTTCCGTTGTAATGGAGACAAGCTTCAGTCCCCTCAATGAGATTCTTCAATTACCAAATAGAGAAAAACCTTTCTCTCAGCTACAGGAAGGTAGTTCAAAGTAAGGTCTTTAAGTAAGGTCACACTATTTTAAGTGTGAGACTTAATAAACCTTCAAACAAATATACTGGTACTAAAAAGGGAATCTACTCTTGCATTGACAGAATTCAGCGCCTGGTTGCAGCAAATACAGGGACTTTAATAATAGCATTTAATAGATATTGCTATTAAAAAGTTAAAGAACAAAAAAGGTTTACTGCTTCTAAACACCTTGTGAGTATAGGGCATTTTTTTTGTTCTAAAATAATTTTGACACCCAGAGAAGACCATCAGCTTCCTGCTGTTAGCTGCCTTGTTCTGTTGTTGCTTCCTGTTTTAGTTTTTCAATAATTTGGCCAAGGGCTAGTCCCACATAATTCCCCTTTCCTTCCAGGTTAGACTCCAGGTCCCCACAAAACTAAAAAGTTAAATGTTAGAGATGAGGGTGATTGGATAGTTTAAAATGGCTTATTCTCACATTAAAGAGATGGTTGTTTTAAGTAAGCTTTTTAAAGATCGTAATCACCGTAATCACTCTGTGCAAAGTGATTTTACTCTTGAGCATTGTTTTTTTTTTAATCCATTGAAGAAATATATTGACTCAATTTCTTAACCCATTTGTGTAATAAAATTTCCTTTGTAATAGTTTTCTTACAACGAAGTGTCACTGTGGCTAACTCTACAATGTACAGTATGACTTTATGGTGAATGAGTAGACAATATTCTAAAAAAAGGAACTTCTGGTCGGATTTGTAGCCAAGCACTGACATTTCTCACATTCTTATATTGTCTCTGAACATCCATATATGTTTCCTGCCAAAGAAGTAGAAATTAATTGCTGTGTAATCTGGCATACGGAGGAACTGGAACTGGAGCTGGAGGGGTACTGCAGTGTGAATCTATGTCCTGGTGTTCTGCAAATCATTGTGTAATTTGAATGGCAGGAGGGTGGGGGTGTTTCAAAAATAAAAAAGGAGAAATCTCACATGGAAGGGAAAAGGTTTTGAAAGGAGGAATTGTAATATCTGCATAAGATGAAAATGATTACTGCATGTAGGCGAGTTCTTTGAATCTTTAGAAAAGAAACCTGTATCTTGTTGATCTAGCACTGGGGTGGTATTGAGCAAGTAGAATTCACTAACAGAGGAAAGCTTTGAGAAAAAAGGAGGTAGAATTAACAGGAGAAATGTTGCAAATCCATGTTGTTCCGTTCAATTTTGTATAAACAACTCCCAGCATTGCTATAACATACGTAATACAAATTATTATAATTCAATTGAATTAAATTCAAGCTTTAATGTCCCCTAGGGGAAATTTGTTTTTGTATTACACATTTACTGTAATACAAATTGCCACAGCACTCCTTACCTTGTTTCATCGCAATCCTGTGGTTCAGTAGTTTGGCACAATGCTCAAATACAGCACTTTGGCTTTACAGTGTTGCACCACATTTCTTGTCTCTAAAGTTTGGCTCCATCCAAATGGCCAATTTGTTCTCCCCTTACGCTAAATTGCACTTTTCCAAGTTAGTAGAAGCAAACTTCTCAAAACCCAAACAAAAACAGCTGCATTAGCTCCTAATTAAAAAAAAAAAGTTAAAAAACGTGTATGCTTTCAGAAAAAAACTATAGACCTCAAACATTTAGTGACAAAAAGAAACAAACAAAAGAGGTTCATTGTGTGTTGCAAGGATTTCTTATAGACAACAAAACCAGATTCAAGCAGAGTATATGGGCGATCAAAAATCATAGATTGCATTGTATTAATAGCACAAAAAAGAGCCGCCTTTATCAATTCGGCAATTGTAATTGATGGCAATCACCCTGATCCATGAGCAACTTCCAGAACTCAAAGGAAGGATTTTTAGTCCCTGTAAAAGGGCACAACAGTATGTGCTGGTTTACATTTCAGCTGAGCCCATGGTAACTTCACTTGGCCGCTTAACTAAACTGTCTCCAGAATCATTAGAATCAGAAAAGTCCCTTATTTGATTTAGGTTTTTTGTAATACAACCTATTTATAAAGAAGCCTGTCTCTGCACAAGAAATGAAGAGTAACACAGATGACCAACATGCCTGGGTAGGGAACTGCTGGAACAGGTGAGTCTTACCTGAGTGTGGAGTGCCGAGTGTGAGCCACCTGTTACTGCCTGCCTGTGAAACTGTCTGTGAGACTGCCTATGAGACTGCAAATGCACCAGCGAAAAAGCTCTTCAACACAGGAAAGAGAAAGAGTCTGCATTTCCTCACCTACATTTTCACAACAGTAGAATCTGTGGGTCCCTGGATTTCTGAGCATGACACATTGCAAAAGAAAGGTTTGTGCAATGCTGTTGTCTCGACAACATTCGAATGTAGGTTATCATGATGGGTGTGCCATGCACCTCCCCCCAAAAATGGGTATTTAAAGTGGGATAATTTGTTCCACCTCAAGTTATGTTTAACAATCATTGTAAAACACAAGATAATGAAACCAAAGATTGGAAGCAAAGACTGAAGAATGGAACGGTGGCTATTACAATCAGTTGTACAACAGACTAATTAATCAATCAACTAAATTAGTCATTCAACCAGACGTTTTTTAGATGGAACTTTTTTTCATCACCTCAAAGCAATTAGTTTAATGAAACAAGGTAGAGTTAGGCTGTGGAAATTACTGTGAAAAGACCTGTTTAACCCCTAAAGGGGTTCACACTCCACATTTTGGTACAAAACATTTAATTATTAGACACTTAAAGACATTTTAATATTTGGAAGAAACTAAATCACAAGACAATGCTAAACAAAATCATTATTACTTTTTCGATAGTTTGAAAAGACCGAAAAGTTAACTGAATTTTAACTGGAAAACCTTTTGCTGCACCCAATAATTGACTATGAAACACCAGATGAGCTTTTGTTGAAAAAGGTGTATGAAATCTGTATAAAATATGAGGTAACATTAGTAAAAGGGGTGCAAATTACAGTTAATGAGAAATGAAATGTTAATAGTATAATCATCTATTAACACTTTAAGAAACTGATATAAGAAGTAATACGAGAATTTAATTTAACTGCAATTTATTGGAAATATGCAGTGAATCACTTATAGTGGTAAGGTCTACCTAGGTTAATCTTAATGATTTGCTTTTATAGTTCATTAATTTCTAAATGGAGAGCCCCTCATTTGAAGTTTAACATTTGCACTAGTTGGTACCTTCTATAAAAGGAAAGAAACACACTGTGAAGTAAAAGAAAGATACTCTCTATTATAAAGTGTGTCCAACCATCTAGATTCCAGCTACTGTACACTACCAAAACATTGAAAGCACTGACCCCAGAACTGAGTAACCTTCACTTGGGAAGAAACACTGGCTCATCTTGGCTGCTGCTTTCCTGAAAGAGTTTATCTATATTTTGGAGATTTTTATACTGAAAAGACAGAAGAAACATCCATCTATGCATTTTCTAACAATTCAGGTTATTGGGGGAGCCAGAGCCTATCCTGGCAAGCAACAGACAAGCACAGGACACTTACACAAGGGCCAGCTTGATTTTGGACTGTGGAGGAAATCAGAGCACCCCAAGGAAACCCATGTGAACAAGGGGACTATATACTGTACAGACTCCACCCACATAGCACCTCAGATGTGGAATTAAACCCAGGAAGCCAATGCTAACCCCTGCACTACCATGCCTCATTGAATAAATATTTCACTTGCAATTAATACAAATTCACAAATGTATTATTGGGAAAATGACAAACTATTTTCTGAAACAGGTACACTGACATTATTGAGAGCATTCTGACTGCTTTTATAACTGTTTGATTTGGCAACACAACGTTTTGCTCTGCAGAGAGGTGTTATTGGCTGTCATCTGCCTTTTGCTGATTATTTGTACACTTCTAGAGCAAGGAAAAGAGCAGGAAATATTGTTGAAGACCCCTTCTAGCCAGGTTACCACTTATTTCATAAACATCCCTCGGAAGACACTACTGGTATAAAAAAAAAACAGAACCACCTGGTATGTGAACAGCTTTCTTCCATAATTCCTAGTTATATGTGCACTGTTTTAATTAAATCTACCAGTGTTCTTTGTGAATTGTATATGTAGAATGATTTTGTAGCACCAAGTACTCCAGAGAAAATTCCTTGTGCAGTAAATGAAAGGTACTTGGTGAATAAAGATGATTCTGATTCTGATAAGCTATACATGTGATGCATATGATGCATGCTTTGCACAAGTTTCCAGGTGTTGTCTTGTGGGATTCTGTCTCAGTCTTCTTAAATTAGCACAATTAAAAACTTGGGATACAAGGGGCAGACACAGAACTGAATAAGTAAAAGCACTTCTGAAAGAAGTTCTGAGTCAGGATTTGAAAGTGCTCAGGGAAGGTGACTCTCTGATACCTATAGGGATAGAATTCCTTTGGGCATTACAAGAGAAGGCCCTGTCACCTACTTTATGTAAACAAGCTTGGCAGATGATCAGGAGACCAGGGTCAGTTGAATGGTTGTGAGGTTATGGATAAGATAATAAGTCAGACAGGTATTGAGGTGCCAAGCCATGAAGACCCCTATAGGTGAGGATAAGGATTTTGAAGTTGACATAAAACCTGATAGGAAGCCATTGCAAGGACTCCGGGACAGGAATCACGTGACCACTTGTAGACAACCTGGTCATGATTCTGGCTGCCAAATTGTAGGCATGCTGAAGTTTGCTCAGTATGGATTTAGATAGCCCAGCAAGTATGACATTATAGTAATCAATTCTGATAAAGACGAATGTGCTGACCAGCTTTCCAGCTACAGAGATGACATAGGACATAGTCTGGTGATATTACTGAGATGTTAGAATGATGATAAGGATGTGCCTGTTCACTGGTCTCTGAGCCCTAGCCAATTATTATCCAAGCTCATCCCATAAATGTTCTGTGGGGTTCATGTTTAATAGCTAACAGGACCCTCATAGTCTCTTTCCCATCTAACAAGTATGCTGTTGTTACATGAAAAGCATGTCTTCTGGAATGTTGTCTTATCAGAATGAGCCCACAGGAATGGCACCACTGCTGAGGTGAAGCGAGAAGCAGATTTATGAGGCATTTAGTGAACCCACATGCTGGTTGAAGGACAAATAAGACATGAAAACCTGCAGTGTGCAGGCAGCTACAGTATGCTGATCAATAAGGCGACATGGGGCTGTAGCCAGCTAGAGAACCAGAAATTAAACACAGTCCTAGATGTTGGACAAGCAGGTGTGGGTCAAAGCCTACTAACCTTTTATCTGGATATTCTGGATCATTCATCCATGTCTTGATCTGGATGCTCTGGTATCTACTCATCAACCTAATCCTTACATAAACTTTCACAATATCAGGTCTATTCGAATTTGTTTTCCAACAATTTTCTTCTGATTTTTTCATTTTTATGAGTGTTGCTTAAGAACTCCATTACCCATTACAGCTGCAGTCTAGTGATAAATTGCTTGTTTCTGTAAGAAACTAGTGAAGTTTCAGTTACATGTCACTCCACCTTGGCACACCAGCTAACTTCACTGCATGTAGTCTCATTGACGTAAAATTGAACAGAGATCAAGGGACATTTAACAATCTGTTAATTTACTTGCTATAAGTAGCATACACTCATATTGTTATGCATTATGTTTTTGTTTTGGTGGGAGCCAGTAGGCAAAAAGAAAAATAAATACTACATTTTTTCCACACCGCTCAGAGTATGCAGCCGAATGCAATTGCTTTTCTGAGTTTTTCAATCTAACTTTGAATACATCAGGTGCTGGATTTTTATTTTTCTATTCCTTTTCTGAGAATACTATATTCACTTCTAAATGTATTTCACCACTCAGTTTCCTGCAGTCTCTTTTTAGCAGTTCTAAAATAATAATTAAAATGAAACTCACCACGTTCCTATTAATTACCTTGCTTTTTACATTTGGTAGTTTTCTGTCCCATTGTCATGCATATCATCAAGAATCACAAAGATCTAGAGTTGTTCCCTCTGGCCTTAAATGTTGTTAGAGTGTACTTATTTGCAAATAGGATGTAAGAAAGGATTCTTGACTTTGTAATCAGGGTTTGGACTGCAAGACATTTTTTAGCATCTGCACACTGTAAAGTCTGAAGTTCCTGTATGTTGATTGGCTCTCCTTACCAACTCTTCTATTGTAACAAACTGAGTTTGACTACTGAAGGTCTTGAAATCAGTCCAAGGACTCACATCAGGAATCTATTATTTTTTATTAAAATCCCTGAAAGCTCCTGTTCTCAACTTGCGAAGGTGTCTTTGTTTCTTTGTTTTTATCTTTGCAGATATTCTTCCAATTTCTCCTAGTCTGATGCAGAAAAGCTAATTTATTATAATAATAATAATAATTGCTTACACTTATATAGCGCTTTTCTGGACACTACACTCAAACCAGGTAATGGGGACTCCCCTCTCCACCACCACCAATGTGCAGCATCCACCTGGATGATGCGACGGCAGCCATAGTGCGCTAGAACGTTCACCACACATCAGCTATCAGCGGGGAGGAGAGCAGAGTAATGCAGCCAATTCATAGATGGGGATTATTAGGAGGCCATGATTGGTAAAGGCCAATGGGAAATTTGCCCAGGACGCCGGGGCTACACCCTTACGCTTTTCGAGAAACGCCCAGGGATTTTTAATGACCACAGAGAGTCAGGACCTCGGTTTTACGTCTCATCCGAAGGACGGCGCCTGTTTACAGTATAGTGTCCCCGTCACTATACTGGGGCATTAGGACCCACATGGACCGCAGGGTGAGCACCCCCTGCTGGCCCCACTAACACCTCTTCCAGCAGCAACCTTAGTTTTTCCCAGGAGGTCTCTCATCCAGGTACTGACCAGGCTCACACCTGCTTAGCTTCAGTGGGTTACTAGTTGTGAGTTGCAGGGTGATATGGCTGATGCATTCCATGTCTTTACCATGCTTGAATATTGAAATACTGTACAGTGTTTGTTGGTGTATCTAAATGTTCTTAACAAGTTGCAGAACTGTATGTTAAGAACTCAGCAGCTTGGATTTTAAATAAAGCGTAAGAATATATCTTTTAAGTGCTATAATGCTTTCAAATAATTTCTTAAAATTCAATTTTACATAGTAGCTTTTGGGTGGCACTGTGGTGCCGTTGTTAGCATTTCTGCCTCACAATGAGTTCAATTCCTAAGATGTGATCTGCAT